CTGATTCCAATGGTGAAGTCTGTTTTTCGCCACATATTATACTTTGGCCCCTAGAGGCATTCAAAGTTTTTTTTGGGGAAGGGGGACCCCCTTAGATTTTCATAAAAACTGGTCCATGCGTACAGTTTTGGACGCTGATTCCCATGGTGAAGTCTGTTTTTCGCCACATATCATACTTTGGCCCCTAGAGGCATTCAGATTCACTTTCAGAATCACATTCGGACCCCCTTAGATTTTCATAAAAACTGGTCCATGGGTACAGTTTTGGACGCTGATTCCAATGGTGAAGTCTTTTTTTCGCCACATATTATACTTTGGCCCCTAGAGGCATTCAAAGTTTTTTTGGGGCGAAGGGGGACCCCCTTAGATTTTCATAAAAACTGGTCCATGTGTACAGTTTTGGACGCTGATTCCAACGGTGAAGTCTGTTTTTCGCCACATATTATACTTTGGCCCCTAGAGGCATCCAAAGTTTTTTTGGGGCGAAGGGGGACCCCCTTAGATTTTCATAAAAACTGGTCCATGTGTACAGTTTTGGACGCTGATTCCAATGGTGAAGTCTGTTTTTCGGCACATATTATACTTTGGCCCCTAGAGGCATTCAAAGTTTTTTGGGGGCGAAGGGGGGCCCCCTTAGATTTTCATAAAAACTGGTCCATGTGTACAGTTTTGGACGCTGATTCAAATGGTGAAGTCTGTTTTTCGCCACATATTATACTTTGGCCCCTAGAGGCATTCAAAGTTTTTTGGGGGAAGGGGGACCCCCTTTGATTTTCATAAAAACTGGTCCATGTGTACAGTTTTGGAGGCCGATTCCAATGGTGAAGTCTGTTCTTCGCCACATATTATACTTTGGCCCCTAGAGGCATCCAAAGTTTTTTTGGGGCGAAGGGGGACCCCCTTAGATTTTCATAAAAACTGGTCCATGTGTACAGTTTTGGACGCTGATTCCAATGGTGAAGTCTGTTTTTCGCCACATATTAAACTTTGGCCCCTAGAGGCATTCAAAGTTTTTTTTGGGGAAGGGGGACCACCTTAGATTTTCATAAAAACTTGTCCATGTGTAGAGTTTTGGACGCTGATTCCAATGGTGAAGTCTGTTCTTCGCCACATCTTATGCTTTGGTCCCTAGAGGCATCCAAAGTTTTTTAGGGGAAGGGGGACCCCCTTAGATTTTTATAAAAACTAGTCCATGTGTACCGTTTTGGGCGCTGATTCCAATGAAGAAGTCTGTTTTTCGCCACATATTATACTTTGCCCCCTAGAGGCATCCAAAGTTTTTTTAGGGGAAGGGGGACCCTCTTAGATTTTAATAAAAACTGGTCCATGTGTACAGTTTTGGACGCTGATTCCAATGGTGAAGTCTGTTCTTCGCCACATATTATACTTTGGTCCCTAGAGGCATCCAAAGTTTTTAGGGGAAGGGGGACCCCTTAGATTTTTATAAAAACTAGTCCATGTAATATGTAATATAATAGTCCATAGTCCATGTAATATAATATGTGGCGAAGAACAGACTTCACCATTGGAATCAGCGTCCAAAACTGTACACATGGACCATAAGAGGGTCCCCCCTCCCCTAAAAAAACTTCGGATGCCTCTAGGGGCCAAAGTATAATATGTGGCGAAAAACAGACTTCTTCATTGGAATCAGCGTCCAAAACTGTACCCATGGACCAGTTTTTATGAAAATCTAAGGGGTCCGAATGTGATTCTGAAAGTGAATCTGAATGTCTCTAGGGGCCAAAGTATAATATGTGGCGAAAAACAGACTTCACCATGGGAATCAGCGTCCAAAACTGTACACATGGGTCAGTTTTTATGAAAATCTAAGGGGGTCCCCCTTCCCCCCAAAAAACTTTGAATGCCTCTAGGGGCCAAAGTATAATATGTGGCGAAAAACAGACTTCACCGTTGGAATCAGCGTCCAAAACTGTACACATGGACCAGTTTTTATGAAAATCTAAGGGGGTCCCCCTTCGCCCCCAAATAAAACTTTGTGTCTCTAGGGGCCAAAGTATAATATTTGGCGAAAAACAGACTTCACCATTGGAATCAGCGTCCAAAACTGTACACATGGACCAGTTTTTATGAAAATCTAAGGGGTCCCCCTTCCCCCAAAAAACTTTGAATGCCTCTAGGAGCCAAAGTATAATATGTGGCGAAAAACAGACTTCACCGTTGGAATCAGCGTCCAAAACTGTACACTTGGACCAGTTTTTATGAAAATCTAAGGGGGTCCCCCTTCGCCCCAAAAAAACTTTGAATGCCTCTAGGGGCCATAGTATAAGATATGGCGAAAAACAGACTTCACCATTGGAATCAGCGTCCAAAACTGTACCCATGGACCAGTTTTTATGAAAATCTAAGGGGGTCCGAATGTGATTCTGAAAGTGAATCTGAATGCCTCTAGGGGCCAAAGTATAATATGTGGCGAAAAACAGACTTCATCATGGGAATCAGCGTCCAAAACTGTACACATGGACCAGTTTTTATGAAAATCTAAGGGGGTCCCCCTTCCCCAAAAAACTTTGAATGCCTCTAGGGGCCAAAGTATAATATGTGGCGAAAAACAGACTTCACCGTTGGAATCAGCGTCCAAAACTGTACACATGTACCAGTTTTTATGAAAATCTAAGGGGGTCCGAATGTGATTCTGAAAGTGAATCTGAATGCCTCTAGGGGCCAAAGTATAATATGTGGCGAAAAATAGACTTCACCATGGGAATCAGCGTCCAAAACTGTACACATGGACCAGTTTTTATGAAAATCTAAGGGGGTCCCCCTTCCCCCAAAAAACTTTGAATGCCTCTAGGGGCCAAACTATAATATGTGGCGAAAAACAAACTTCACCGTTGGAATCAGCGTCCAAAACTGTACACATGGACCAGTTTTTTATGAAAATCTAAGGAGGTCCCCCTTCGCCCCCAAAAAAACTTTGAATGCCTCTAGGGGCCAAAGTATAATATGTGGCGGAAAACAGACTTCACCATTGGAATCAGCGTCCAAAACTGTACCCATGGACCAGTTTTTATGAAAATCTAAGGGGGTCCCCCTTCGCCCCCAAAAAAAACTTTGAATGCCTCTAGGGGCCAAAGTATAATATGTGGCGAAAAACAGACTTCACCATTGGAATCAGCGTCCAAAACTGTACACATGGACCAGTATTTATGAAAATCTAAGGGGGTCCCCCTTCCCCAGAAAAACTTTGAATGCCTTTAGGGGCCAAAGTATAATATGTGGCGGAAAACAGACTTCACCGTTGGAATCAGCGTCCAAAACTAAACACATGGACTAGTTTTTATGAAAATCTAAGGGGGTCCCCCTTCGCCCCAAAAAAACTTTGAATGCCTCTAGGGGCCAAAGTATAATATGTGGCGAAAAACAGACTTCACCATTGGAATCAGCGTCCAAAACTGTACCCATGAACCAGTTTTTTATGAAAATCAAAGGGGGTCCCCCTTCGCCCCAAAAAACTTTGAATGCCTCTAGGGGCCAAAGTATAATATGTGGCGAAAACCAGATTTCACCATTGGAATCAGCGTCCAAAACTGTACACATGGACCAGTTTTTATGAAAATCTAAGGGGGTCCCCCTTCCCCCAAAAAACTGTGAATGCCTCTAGGGGCCAAAGTATAATATGTGGCGAAAAACAGACTTCACCGTTGGAATCAGCGTCCAAAACTGTACACATGGACCAGTTTTTATGAAAATCTAACGGGGTCCCCCTTCGCCCCAAAAAAACTTTGAATGCCTCTAGGGGCCAAAGTATAATATGTGGCGAAAAACAGACTTCACCATTGGAATCAGCGTCCAAAACTGTACCCATGGACCAGTTTTTATGAAAATCTAAGGGGGTCCGAATGTGATTCTGAAAGTGAATCTGAATCTGAGGCTGTCTTGACAGACGTGCTTATGACTTACTCTAGCAAGTTTTAGCCAGATATCTGAAAAATGGCCAAGTTATACGCATTATACCAAAAATTTTACAATTTCAAATTTTCAAATCAATTTTCTGTACGAATTTGACATCGCACACCAATATAAATAGCACCATCGTGTTCCTGAGCTCAAACTGCATCCGATAGACATGTTTGTTGTTGAAAAATTTCAACTTTGAAATTTGACCTTTTTTGACCTGAAAAGTGATCTGACCTCAGCTGTATTCAGATGAAAATGGCCTCAAACGACACAGGCGACACCGAATTCGAAATCTATGGCCTAAATGGACCATAAATCATGTGTCACGTGACCGACTTATGACAAGATTTCCGTGACCTATGATGACCTGACCCTGACCTGAAAATCAAAGTACAAGTTTGGTACCCTTAGGGTATCTAAAGCATCTGGTCACGAGTGTGTAAACCAAAAATCAGCTTGATCTGACTTGTAAGACGGCGGCCAGAGCCCAAAATGTGAACAAGCCAAATATCGATAATTTTTACTTTGACCTGACCTGTGACGGCATCGGTGACCTCGAGGTCAATGAAATTAGGTTTCGCTCGGCAGTTTTTCCGGGGCTATCAGATGCCGTTTGAATTTTGACGATCGGCCCAGTAGGTTCGGAGTTAGGGGGGGGGCTATGAATAGCCCCCCCCCGTAGGGCGTGTTATATACAGACCCCATTGGGGCGCGGGTTAAAATGCCAAAATCAAAGGGGGCACCGTGCCCCGGTACCCCCCCCCCCCCGTTCCGCCGCCTATGGCTTTAACACAAAAAATATTTTGCCCCCCAACCCAAAATGTCTGGCGACGCCTATGGTATGGTGATGGTATGGTCCACTTCATAGCTGGGACAACTGAGGTCTGAGAACAAAGCAAGTGTGTCAGCCATATCGCGACTCACTTTAATTTATACGACATCGGATGATGGCGGCCGTCCAGCCGGAAACAGGGATATGTGGCTTTGAGATGGAATTGTGCTTTCTTACTCCTGACAGCAAATAAGAGGGGTCAGAGGCGAGGGAGCTATCTATGCGTGAAATATCACGTAACAAAAGGATGCGGTACAGCAAAAGGATTCAGGCGCTGTGTGTCATCTACGGACGAGGTTTGAAGCTGCACGGCGGTGCGGCACAGCCTATATTCAGGCGTGTTTTGTGGTGCCATCTATGGACGAGGTTTGAAGCTGCACTGTCGTGCGGCACAGCCTATATTCAGGCGTTATTGGTGGTGCCATCTATGGACGAGGTTTGAAGCTGTACTGTCGTGCGGCATAGCCTCTTTTCAAGCGTTGTTAGTGGTGCCATCTATGGACGAGATTTCTAATTGCATTGTCATGCGGCACAGCCTGTATTCAGGCGCTGTTGGTGGAGCCATCTATGGGTGAGGATTAAAACTACATGTCGTGCGGCACAGCCTAATAAGTTCAGGCGCTGCTGGTAAAGCCATCTATGTCTGAATTTGGAAGCTACGATGATTTCTAAAGAAAAAGCTAGGATGCAGGTCGCGTGCAATATTGACCCACCATGCCGATGGAATTCAAGACTAAACTTAGGTTGATTTTCAGGAGTCGGGCGCATGGGGAATGACAGCGTAAATAACTACGAGGTGTGAGTGAAAAGTTTTGAGCCTAACACAGTTAAAGGTGACGCAGATTAATTAAAAATTGGTCACCTGTTTTGCCACTATTTATATATGTGTACACCAAGTTTTGAAGTCCTAGCACCTTTTGCTACGTCTTTAGAGCCCTCTAAAGTAAAAAAGATTGCCGTTCGGTCAAAATGGAGAAAATCGGGAACCGAGCTGTTATAAAGTATTTCAATTTGAAAGGCATGCCTTCATCTGAAATAAAAAAGGATCTGAAATTTGCCTTATTGGTTGTGATTCATCATTTGACACTGTTGTAATTTGAGCTGCTAATTTCAAGCAAGGAAGGAACAGCGTTTAAAATGAACAAATATAAAAACGCCGCAGGGCGCAGGATGTGACAAAATCCGGAAACACTGACCCTGCCCTGGGCTGGGGATGCTGGATCTAAGACTGTGACCTCATTAGATAGTTGAATAATATTGAGGGTTTCTTTCAAAATTGTGTTGAGCCCCATTACGATTAGAAAATAAGCAAGTAATAGCCTTTGGCTCATTGTATAATTGACAAAAGAAATGGAAAAGAATATATATATGCGATATTCGTGTTTGACTTTTTCATGCACTCAGTGCATGAAATAGTGGTCTGAGTGCACTGAGTGCATGAACAAATATCGAACACGAAATATCGCACATTTGTTCTTTTCCATTTCTTTTGTCAATTATACAATGAGCCAAAGGCTATTACTTGCTTATTACGGAGCGAGCGAAGCGAGCGTAGTCTTTCCTTATTACGGAGCGAGCGAAGCGAGCGTAGTCTTTCCTTAGATTAGGTCGCCGTCCACTGCACATTGGCATCCGCCGAAAGTAAGCGCGTAATCGTCGATAAGCGCGTATTTTCGGCGTTTCCTAAAATGACGCCGTCCACTGCACAAAAAGCATCGGCAGAGGTGCTGAAAGTACGCGCTTATGTTAGTATCAAGTGTTTTGTTATTATAGGGTGTGCAAGCCACCTGAAGTCATAGAATGATGATAATTCTGTAGGAAAATAAAAAATAAAAGTATAAAAAAATGTTTTAGCAGGTTAACCATGATGCAATATATTAACAAATAAAATCCTTCGAAAATAAGCACGCGACATTTTTCTTAATACTCTTGGGTTACATACGAAGCAAATACCGCCGTCAGGAAAACAAATGTAAACAAAACATCTCAGGTAGTACCTTTTCTTGTTATTGCTTCTATACTTTATATATCTTCTTGTTATTGCTTCTATACTTTATATATCGAGAATGGACGTCGGCTTAAGTTTGGCCCAAGCCGAGCTATTAATGATGGAGTATGACGAGGAGTGCCGTCCGAAACGTCGGCACAAGAGCTGGGTCGCTGACGTGAACCGCCGCCGCCGAGCTCGGGGGGAATTCTTCAACCTCGTACAAGAGTTGCGTACCAACGACCCTGAGCGGCACCGCACCTACTTCCGGATGACCCGCGACACTTTCGATCTCCTTCTTAGCAAGATCGGGCCAACTATCGCCAGAAAACACACCAACTTCAGAGAGCCCATCGACCCCGCGCAGCGCCTGGCCGTTACCCTTCGGTATCTGGCGTCAGGGATGGAGTTTTCGGCTCTGGCTCCCACGTACACTGAAAAAAATAATGACACCTAAAAGGGGTGTTTTTTGAAGCGTACCAAAAACGCGCAGTTTTCTAGAGTCCGATTACACCCGGAATCAGACACTTTCTAGGGTATTATGACACTGGTTGAGGGTGTATTTTTATACCGTACGGCGTCAAATGATTCCCGGAATCATACGCCTTATGGAATAAAAATACACCCCAAATCAGAGTCATAATACTCTAGGAAGTGTCTGATTCCGGGTGTAATCTGACTCCTGGAAACTGCGCGTTTTTGGTACGCTTCAAAAAACACCCCTTTTAGGTGTCACTTCAGGGAGTAATCGGATTTTGAGGGTGTATTTTGATCCCACACGGTGTATGATTCCGGGAATCATTTGACGACATGTGGTATAAAATACACTCCCAACCAGAGTCAGATTACCTCGGGGGTGTCTGATTCCGGGTGTAATCGGACTCCTGGAAACTGCGCGTTTTTGGTACGCTTCAAAAACACCCCTCGTAGGTGTCACCTCAACGGTGTCAAATGACTCTTGGGATGGTTTTTCTATACCGGCTCAGAGCCTGTTCCTGAATTAGCGTCATACATCAGCTAATATCAATATTACCGGTACTATTGGTCTCCTAATATAAGAAATACAGGTAATATTCGAGTGCGGGGATTGGGTGGTGTGCAGGGGTGAGGGATGCACTCGAACCGAGCTGCGGCGAGGGTATAAAGGGTATATTCATCGCATCAGAAAAACAGGTCGCCTAGGCCCTTATCTTGAGACCAATAGTATGGTACAACTAACCAACATACCCATGGGTATGTTCTGCTTCTGAAGCTTATAGGAACGATTAGCCAGACTGCAACGAGACTTTAAATGTAGCTTACATGTGTCTTCACCCTTGCAGCTACAATTTTATCTATTGACGATGACGTCTTCTTTTCAATCAGTCTTTATACCAGATATTGTCAAATGATTCTCGGAATCATACACCTTATGGGATCAAAATACACTCTCCAACCACTGGCGGATCCAGGGGGGGGCCACCGGGGCCATGGCCCCCCCCAAAAGCCTGAAAGGGGGGGCCAACATATCTTTTGGCCCCCCCCCCCAAAACGCTTGGAGAAAAATTAATGTGAGAAGGTTGCGTAGTAGATACCTACTAGAATCAGCAGCGTGATTCAATAGCGTAGAGAAAGTCAGGGGCGCGGGAACTACTTTCAGACTGGGGGAGCACACCATAATAGAGATCAACCTAGGGTCCCCCCAAATCTAGTTTTCTCACCGGTTTTAGGCCACTTATTTTTCATCCCTTGGCTTTTTCAACAAAAAAAAAAGAAACAGTTGCAAAAAAGGACGGTATTCCGTCTGAAAGTTGTGGGGGCACCGCCACCACTGGCGGATCCAGGGGGGCCACCGGGGCCATGGCCCCCCAAAAGCCTGAAAGAGGGGGCCAACATATCTTTTGGCCCCCCAAAACGCTTGAAGAAAAATTAATGTGAGAAGGTTGCGTAGTAGATACTATAATCAGCAGCGTGATTCAATAGCGTAGAGAAGTCAGGGGCGCGGGAACTACTTTCAGACTGCACACAGAAAAATATTGACACCGTTAGCGGTGTAATTGCACAGTACATATCTGAGCACTTGAGGAAAGTTAATTTAGTCCCTTCCCCGCTAAAATTACTCGCGCTTCCAAACGAACACCAGGAAGAAGGTAATAGAACACTGTTAGGAGGGTTGGGTGTTTTACTACATGTAGCAAAACACCCAACCCTCCTAACAGTGTTCTATTACCTTCTTCCTGGTGTTCATTTGGAAGCGCGAGTAATTTAAGCGGGGAAGGGACTAAATGAACTTTCCTCAAGTGCTCAGATATGTACTGTGCAATTACACCGCTAACGGTGTTAATATTTTTCTGTGTGTGGGGGAGCACACCATAATAGAGATCAACCTAGGGTCCCCCCAAATCTAGTTTTCTCACCGGTTTTAGGCCACTTATTTTTCATCCCTTGGCTTTTTCAACAACAAAAAAAGAAAACAATTGCAAAAAAGGACGGTATTCCGTTTGAAAGTTGTGGGGGCACCGCCCCCACTGGCGGATTCAAGGGGGCCACCGGGGCCATGGGCCCAAAAAGCCTGAAAGAGGGGGCCAACAATCTTTTGGCCCCCCAAAACGCTCGAAGAAAAATTAATGTGAGAAGGTTGTGTAGTAGATACTTACTAGAATCAGCAGCGTGATTCAATAGCGTAGAGAAACCCAGGGGCGCGGGAACTACTTTTAGACGGGGGGGGGGGAGGTCACACCATGATAGAGATCAACCTAGGATCCCCCAAATATAGTTTTGTCGCCGGTTTTAGGCCACTTATTTTTCATCCCTTGGCTTTTTCAACAAAAAAAGAAAACATTTGCAAAAAGGAGCGGTATTCTGTCTGAAAGTTGTGGGGGCACCGCCCGCACGGCCCCAGAGTTGGGGGGGGGGGCAAGCTGCCACCACTGCCCCCTCCCCCCGGTTCCCGCGCCTATGGAGAAACTACCGGGTTTACTAGCTTCCTTCATAAAGTGTCGTCATGTCTTATCGTCACCCGAGAAGGTCTTATTGCATAAATATCGATTGAGCTGTCAAGTTAACAAACTTGCTGTGGCAGCCTGACCTGACATGACCCGGCAACTTTTCATTCACGGAATATGCGCAATAAATTTTTTAGGAAAACTCACTGAGTTTTCGTTGAAAAAAAAAACTTGTTTTGTTTCGTAATTGTACAAGAAGCATATGAGGGACCTTTTTGTCCCTTCCTGCGAAACGGTAAAAGACTTATTTCGGTCACAGCTCAGGCCAATCTCTAAGGGTCAGTCGGGTCACTTATTTCTTAAAAGGGTCCTTACGGCATCCAAGGACCAATTCCGGCTTTTGAGTGCGCCACATCAGCATTTGATGCTACGACAGATGTCGAAATCTGAATATATGTTACAGGCCGTATGAAAATTCGGTCCGTTTGCAAACGGCCTGGCCCAGTCAGGCCATATGAAACTATCTGAAAACACCGGCCGTTTGCAAACTATGACCTGAAATATCAGACCGTTTGAAAACGACCTAGTTAGTTTCGGCCTAGCGGATCCAGGGGGGCCACGGGGTCATGACCCCAAGCCTGAAAGGGGAACAACATATATTTTTTGTCCCCAAAAACACTTAAGAAAAATGAATGTGAGAAGGGCGTAGTAGGTAGAGAGAAAATACCGTATCATTAAAAATCTGTGAGCTTGATAAAAGTGTTGGTCTTGTCTTCACCCAAGAAGTTCTTATTGCACACTTTAACCATGGATGAAAGAACCTTCATCCCCTGGTTCTCCTTCATCCATGCTTTAACTCTCGATCGACGTGTGAAGTTATCGTGTAAGGTATCATGAAGCCGATCGCGACGAAACTTTAGTACCCTCATGGTGACAAAGTCTGAAAATTTCATGACCCTGACCCAAGTGAACTTTGACTTGTGGCCTATTTCTCGAGACTGTTTGGCCATGTTGGAGGCCATGTTTGGCCGGAATAGCGATTCGGCGTATGTCGGCTCACATTATCCGCGCTTTCATAGTCTTTTCGTGGTTTAAAACGCTCAAACATGTGATATGATGTTGCTCCCACGCATTAGGGCGGATGCCAATGTCACCTTACGGTCAAGTCAGGTCATTGACCTTTGATGACCTCGGTGCACTTTTCCGAGTTTAACATGTTTCTAGGATAGTTTCGTTTAGCTGATTTTGAATTTAGCATTTTGCAGCCATTTGAACATTTACGAAGTAGTTTTGATGCCTTCGTATCATGTTACGTAGCTGCCAGTGGTAGTGGACACCTGCTATACGGACGCCCATAAGTACCCCTACTGGTTGATCTGACCTGACCTGCCCCGACATGGTCTAAACGCATGAAGACATTATCTATGATCCAAACTAACATGAAATTTGTGATCAGCACAAAAAAAACGTATTACAGCCTTACTTTAGGAGGTTCTGACAGGTCCTGATTTTTCCGTCTTTTGGGTCTGTGACCTGACCTGGGCGGTGTTTCACGGCACGCTGCCAGCCGCTGCCAGCGCTGATGGCACTTTTGGTTTCAATGGAGACATCAACAAGCCTATACCCACAACACTACCGAAGGCTGACCTTAGCTCGCGGAATGCGCTGTCAGCGGCTGTCAGCACGACCGTGAAACACCGCCCTGGAAGGTCAACCAATGACCAAGGACCTTAAAATCGGGTATCATCGGCTTCGTCTCGTCACTCACGGGCAACACGCCTGTTTTTTTTCCGCGAGCTCTAGCTTAATCAGGGGCCGAACGGCAGGGGGTCCAACCGACACCTCCCAGCCCGCGAAGGCTGCGCCACGCACCGACCCGGAGCGGGCTAATTGGTCGACAAAAGCAATTTGAAGTGTTTTCAAAGTAATATTTAGGCTCGGGTTGGGTGGGCTACCATTTCTATATTTTTTTATTTTTAGTTTTAAAAAAGTATCGTTTCAGGGCTGTGACGAAAAAATAAGTGGCCTAAATCCGATGAGAAAACAGGATTTGGGGGTACCCTAGGTTTGGTTACTTGCAGGAGTTGGCCCCCCCCAAAACGCAAGTCTGGATCCGCCAGTGTCTCCAACAGAGTCATAATTGCAGTTGTTAACCACGTGACGCAAATTAACAATACATGCATGTCATTCTTTATTTTATATGCAACAATAAATTCCAAGACATTTGGGCACGAAATGTATGGCGAAATCTAATGAAAACTTATCGTAAGGTTCATGGGTCCGTGACTCCATTCACCGTAAGGAATTACTCACATTTCAACAATGTTCCATCAACCGGTGATTATTGCTACTTACTTAGGTAGAGTTATTCTGCAGCTTAATGACATAAAAACTTACCTCCGTCTCCATGGTGCGTTGCTATCTTGTCCTACTTCAAAATTTCGCCGAGTGCAGGGCGCCTCGTTGTTTAAATACGCATGTTGAGCAAACTACAAATAATATCTGAAGTTTATCGTTAAAGCACTATTACTTGAAGTAAATCTACACTTTAAACAACGTTTGGCGACATTAAAAGCGCGTTAATTCAAATAAGTTCCTCTCCCCGCTCACACCACACGCACCCACGTGGGCACACTTCCGGCAACTGAAGTCAACGGCTTTCCTAACGGTTTTCCTGCAAGGTCGAGCTATTTCATCTTCGTGGCGGACCGGCATGGCTAGAACACAAATGACGTCACACGAAAATGCAGCTTGCTGATTGGCCGGGCATTGACTCAAACCACTGGACCTGAGCTGTGGTTTGCACCAGGGTTACAGAGTCAGAGTCAGAGTCGGGTGGAGTTGACAGTTGTGGCCGGAGTCAGAGTCGGAGTCGACGGCGACTTTGGAAGCCGGAGCTGGAGTCGGAGTCTGGGTCACCGAAAATCAATTGATACCGCAGCGTATCCGGACAAATCTTTGCATGACATTTCTTCGTCGCGCAATTCTTCGTCCGCAAAACTTCGTCCGCTCATTTCTTCGTCTCCGCCTTTCTTCGTCTTGCATTCCTTCGTCTCGCATTTCTTCATCTCGCATTTCTTCGTCCGAGCATTTCTTCGTCTCCGCATTTCTTCGTCCGCGCATTTCTTTGTCTCGCATTTCTTCGTCTCGCATTTCTTCGTTTCGCATTTCTTCGTCTCGCATTTCTTCGTTTCGCATTTCTTCGTCTCGCATTTATTCGTCTCGCATTTCTTCGCCTCGCATGTCTTCGTCTTGCATGTCTTCGTCTCGCATTTCTTCGTCTCGCATTTCTTCGTCTCCGTATTTTTTCGTCTCGCATTTCTTCGTCCGCACATTTCTTCGTCTCCGCATTTCTTTCCGCAAATCTTCGTCCGCAAATTGACAGTGCAGCCTGCTGATTGGGCTATTGCCTATTTCATCTTCGTAGCGGACCAGCCATAGCTAGCTCACACATGACGTCACTCGGGGCATTGATTCAAATCACTGAACCTACACCAGGGTTACGGAGTCAGAGTCGGAGTCCGTTGGAGTCGACAATTCTGGCCGTAGTCGGAGTCGGTTGGAAACGACAGTTCTGGCCGTAGTCGGAGTCGGAGTCGATATTGGAAGCCGGAGCTGGATTCGGAGTCTGATTCACCGAAAATCTCTTGACTCTGCAGTGTTGGTTCGTACCTATAGGAACCAACACTGCAGAGTCAAGAGATGGTGGTATACCAGCAGTGACGTCAAAACAATTTCTGTAATAATTTAGTGTTTTTTGATACTATCATGTGGAGTTTTTGAACCCTATGGGTGTCATTTCACTCAGTTGAGCGTTTTCGTAATCATTGACTCGCTTATTAGGTGTAACTTGACCCTCAGTGGTGCCATAATATTCCGGTGTCATTGAACCCAATGGGGCTCAAATGACACCGGAATATTATGACACTACCGAGGGTCAAATTACACTCAGTAAGTCATTTGAACGGAATATTATGACACCATTGAGGATCAAATTACACCTAATAAGGGAGTCACGGATTGCGAAAACGCTCAACTGTGTGAAATGACACCTATAGGATATAAAAACTCCTCATGATAGCGTCAAAAACGCTTAGATGTGTTATTTTACACTGACACCGTGCAGGATCTTTTGACACGACACCTAAAATGGGAGTCAAAATTTTGGGAGTCAAATGACCCTTGGGTATGTGATTCTGACCGAGATCAATTTACACTAAAAAACGGTGTATGGACACCGTTTTTCAGAATCGGATTACACCATGGGTGTCAGTTGATTCCCAAATAGGGGATCGTGATTCCCGGGGGGAGTAATTATTTTTCTCCGTGTACCGCCTGGGAGAGAAGACGGTCCGCGCCATAGTCTACGACACGTGTGCCGCGATCATCACCGCCGTCGGTCCGGGGGTGTTGGCCTCCCCTACTCGCCACACCTGGGAGAGGAGCGAGGCCACCTTCCGAGACCGGTGGAACTTCCCAAACTGTGTGGCAGCACTCGACGGAAAACATGTCGTCCTGCAGGCGCCAGCCAACACCGGCAGCGAATATTTCAATTACAAACACACGTTCAGCACGGTTCTCCTGGCCGCTGTGGACGGCGACTACCGATTCGTGTACGTGTCGGTGGGAAGTGCCGGCAGGGAATCGGACGGCGGCGTATTCCGCCGCAGCGACCTGGCCGCCGCCCTCCGAGACGACTCTCTGCAGCTGCCGCCGCCCAAAGCCCTGCCCGGGACCAACACCATCATGCCGCACGTCATCGTCGCCGACGAGGCGTTCCCGCTCACCACCGCCATCATGCGGCCGTATCCCGGGCGCACAGAGGCAAGACTTGGAGTCCGAGCCACGGTATTCAACTACCGCCTCTCGCGCGCTCGTCGCATCGTGGAAAATGCTTTCGGCATTCTCGCACAAACCTGGCGGATATATCGTCGGCCAATGAACGTGAACGTCCAGCACGCCTGCAAGATCGTGCATGCCACGTGCATTTTGCACAACTTCCTCCACGCGGACGAAGTCGTCGCACTGCAGGGAAGGCCTGAACTCGACCAGCAAGATCGAGCCACCGCCCCGGCCGGGCTGGCTGACGCGCTCCACCGTCTCGGGGCCAACAACTACACGCGAGCTGCCGAGCACGTGCGCGATCAGTTCGCGCGCTACTTCACCGGTGAGGGCGCTGTACCATGGCAGATGGAGCACGCTGTCTGAGCTGCAGTCAGCTGCGCTGCAAGTGCAGCTGTTCGCCACCTACGTCTGCTGGCGCTACAGGAGGACGTGGTTGCCGTCTAGGGCATGGGGAAGTTCTGCCGTCTGCGAGTCCTACGACGACGATTGTCTGCAGCCGCCGTGTTCTCCTGTTGTGTTGTTGTTGTTCGGCGCCTTGCACGGCGCCGGGGCGCCTTGCAAGCGCGGGGTGCGGAGTCCTGCTCCCACTCGTCGTCCACTGTCGTGAAAGAAGAAAAATTATCATTTGCAGAGTCTGGAATCGACGACCGCTTTTCTCTAGTTCTTGTGTATAAGGTACATAATAATTTCGACCCTTGTGGAAGGGGCATTTAATGCATTACCTTCGAATTCTATTTTTCATCTTTAGTAAAAACAAGCATCAAGTTAGATAGAGCTATAAGTACATCAATCACACCTGCTATTTTCTTTCCAAAACAAGCTTTGGTATTTGTTGATGCTTTAATGATCTACGGTCAACACACATCAAGTACGTTTGGCTAGCCTACATACATAAAACCTTCGCTGTGATCTCAAGAACTCTAAAAATGCATAATACACATAAAAAGTATCTCCATCATACTGCATAACATACGTAGACATTATAGCCTTAGTAAGAAACTGTTAACTGACCTTCCGAGAATACGAGCCATGGATCACCAGAGTGTTCTTCTTCTATGTCAGGGTTCTCCTGAAAAAGAGATTAGCATGGCTTTGACCGTGGCGCTGAGTATACAGAACGGTAATCTGTGTACCCTCGTACTTTCAGTCCTGTTCCGCCTAAACGACATAACTAGTTACAAGTTAGACATAAACGCCCTTCTCTTCTTGTTGTTGCTTTTTAAGTTTAGAGGTTTTGGAGTATTGGAGGTTTCACCTTGTCAGTTGATTGTTAAATTGCACAACCCACAATAGACGAATTGCAAGATAAGTAGCTACCTGATAGGATTACGCTACTACACAAAGGTCATTATTACAAGAGCGCGTCATGCAAACCGTATCGACTGCGCAAAGCATCAAACCTACCAAGTGAGGATCCTCTACAAGCGATAAGGGATCAGGATCAGCATGTGGCGCCGTCAGGTTTGTTGTCACGCTGTGAAAGGACCGTCATAAGGCAAGCATGGTGTGATTCAGCATTGGACGATAAAATGTTCATCGGGGAAAGGGAAAGTTCATTGTGGATGGGGCGTTCAGTTGGCCGACCGTCACCAGACGGAGTAGACCGCACCCCGTACGTGTAATCTAACTTTCCGTCCAACGTTACAAATCTTATTGCGTACTAAAATATGTTATTTACAGAACTATTGATAACTAATTTCAATACAGAACAGTGAAGCGAAAACAAGCTATTCAAGCAGGGGAGGTCATTTCATCTAACCTACATATTGCAACCCAAATGTTGTACTATAAAGCCCTCAGCGAAGCCCGTTTTAAAAACAATTAACTTTTTATAGAGGGGGTCACAATCAGCTCTTGTCCCACATAACATCTACAACTATAGAAAACTATACATTCATATCCATTTACATATCTGAGCTAAGCAAGCTGACAACTGGCAATAAACAATACAGAAAATGCACGCATTGTACGAATTTATCTATTACGAAAGGGAAAAACGGTAAGAGTAAAAAAAAACTCACGGCTTTGGCTTGACAGAATCATTGAGGAAACTCAGCTCCCTCTGCGTGGCGCCGTCGGTGGTCGAGCTGGCAGCAGAGCCGCTCGGCGGGGCCTGCCGACACTTCATAAAATAGTCCCGGATGGACTTCCATCTTGACTTTACATCAGCAACTGAAAAAAACGAAGTATTTAGTATACCTTTATTTTTTACTACATCTCTATCCTGGTATCCATTCACATGTATACATACATACATGCATACATACATACATACATACATACATACATACGTTTTGATTTCGATGATAATGATGATTAAGTCTAAACAATGGTTCGTCAGAAATATTAATATAAATGTGAAGAAAAAAACAGATTAGACGTCATACAGATGGTGATTGGATTAGATATGGCGCCAGGGGACACTCTCACAGGGAAGCTTCCTATTCAGTTGGTGGGGCGGCTACCCCACCAACTTGCCATTTTGCCCCACCTATAAGCGTTTGGCCCCCACCAACTTAAGCTCAGTTGTAGGAATGTGTTGCTTAGCAGACCAATCTTTTTCGCATTGAGGAGCTTTGAAATGTCTGTGTAGTGCAAAATATTATCTCTGTAATGAAAACAATCGATTCAGTGATGCACCTTAACTAACATAACAATTGGACACGAATTTCTGCCCCACAAACTTCCTAAGAAAGGCTATTTTAAAATAAATTTAGTCCGAACCTTTTTGATAGGAAGGTTTCACAAGGACAGGGCCACCGCTAAGCGAAGCTTGTTGCGGTGACCCTGCCCTCTACCCTCCGATCGCGCAATTCCGGTTCTACGGCATAATTAACCCTCGCCCGTAAACGGTGTTTTGCCACCTTCGCCCATGCAGGGGGGGGGGGGGTTGGTGCGACCCCCCCCTGGCGTTTGAAAACGGAGCGTCGTAGAGGTTAGCGGAAAAAACCAACATATTGCTCTCAATAAGATCTCGCGATTGGTGGTATATTTTTGGTCCTAGGTCAACATTTGACCTACTTATGACCGGTCAAAGGTCAAATTTTCTAAATTTTTCAAATTTTTAGCTAAGAAAAACCTCAGGGGGGTGCACCAACCCCCCCCTACATGGGCGAGGGTTAAGTTTAACGTGCGCACAAGCCACGCACGGCCGGTCCCCTCTCTCACAGGCTTAGCCTGGCTACGGCCTGCCACCAACCGCAACAATACCTCTCAGAAGGCCCATAAATATCAAGCGCCCGTCGCGCTTCGAACCCGAACTGTTATGACAGGGCACGCGTGCTCTCACCACACGGAGTCCAACGCTCTACCAACTGATCTACGGTACACTCGGGGGCAGATTGATGTTCCACCACTCCCTACCCATCGGGCTCCCATGGCTCAGCACTGGCTGCTGCCAGTGGCAGCACTGGCACTGGCAGGCAGTGCTGAGCAGTGCTGAGGGCAGGCAACACTGACAGCAGCCAGTGCTGAGCCATGGGATCGCCTGATGGGTAGGGAGTGGTGGAACATCAATCTGCCCCCGAGTGTACCACCATACAAAGGCTCCGCCTATGTATGGCGCCGCCGACTTCATGCTGTGTGACGTGCGTGCGTTTACGCATGGTGGGGCCGCTGGTGTTGCCCTCTATTGGTTGGTGTCTACAAGCTCCGCCAGATGTCAGTGGGGTGGTGGCTAGGCGAGCTCATTGAGCTCATTGATGTCTCCAGACCTGTATAGATCGTCTTGTGAAACGACCATTATACGCCAAAACAAAGTCAATGTAAAAATGCATTTCAGAAAATGCTCACCATTTCGTCCGGTCTCTGCCGCCACCTCCGCCCATAGCCTAGCCGCAGCTTGTGCTTGCGCTGGTGATATGCTGCCTGCCGCACATTCCAAAGTGCCTCCTGCTTACGAACAGCTTCGACCAGCTGGCTGTCTCCGGGCCTATCGTGACAGAAAAGGAAGATATCAGAGCAACAGCAATGGGATAATTTTTGACAGATGTTGTTATAAGTTGGAGGCAAGTCTGAGAAATCTTTGAGCTTGAGAAATCTAAGATCCCTCCCCCCCACACACACACGTCATCGAAATACCAGCATTTAAAAATGACATTACCTTGGGAAAGATTTTGGTAATGATAGTGTCCCAAAATTTGTCGATTTGGGTGGCAAATGACACCGAAATGAAACCCATTTTCACTCTTACCTCCAATTTCTAGGAGCAATTTTGCACTCCCAATTTTCTTAGATTAAATATTTGCATCAGATGTTTGCTTTATATCATAGACCTACATTCTAATACACTTGTACATCATTGTATGCTCTTGGTCTCTTTCCCACCTTTTTTGGACCCGTTATCTGACCGGCAATTTTCCAATCTCATTTCCTTTCAAGTGGAGAATTTTCCCCTCTGACACCCACACCAAAATACATTTTTGGGACACTGGTGGGACACTGACACACTGGTCTGTAATGTTAAAAAAAATACATAGAGCGGTCATCTTTGGCTTCAGGCAAAATGCTGAACACCTGATACACAATCACTCAACCTAAAATATGACTGGCAATGAAACTGCCATGTAACTTGCCAGTCACAGGCTGCGCCAAAAAATTCAGCAGCCACCATGTGCTGACCTTGGTGCATGCGAAGTTAAGATGGACATGCACTGAAATCTTTGGCACAATCCTGCCACTACGCTGGACATATTCGGCATAACGTGTTTTTCCAGGTTGGCAGACTCACAGTTGTTAAGAAACACATTTTATTTCTTTACTTTTATTCAAATGTGCTACAGAAATGGATATGGATCAATGCAAATTTGAGAACGAAGGAATGCCCATGCCGACATAAATAAATTTGGGGAAATAATCTACTTGGACATACCAGATCTAGAGTGGATTAGATACCTACAGTCTCATCCCAGACTACCTATCCCAAGTTCCATTCAGAAATAGGTACATCAACATTCAGTGGCACCTTTGAGTGGAACCCAGCAGAAGGCTGCCTGCGTCTGGAATATTGTGAATTTATTTGAGTTGATCTATGATTCAATATCAGCCTGCCACCTACCAAGGAATAAGCACTTACAGCATACCACGCCCATGATGAGTTTATGTCAGAGGTGGAGATCTCGGGGGGGGGGGGGGTCAGGGGGTCAGGACTCCCCCCCCTGAAAACAAATTACTGCTATGCAATTCAATGGTACTGCATCCAGCCCGCCTCCATCTGCCCGGCCTGGAGCCCCTTGAAATTTTGACAGATCTCCACCCCTGGTTTATGTCATGCATATAATAAAATTGTCAACAAAATGCTATCATTTGAAAGTCTACAAGACACAAATAATTCAAAAAAAATGCTGAGATGTCGTTGCGGAGGATGAATAGAAAATCCTTGCACAATGATTTTTCCCCTTTATAGCATGAAAATAAACCTCAATTGGGTTTTTACAGGTTGTTGCTATATCAATATATAAAATCAGTAGGCGGAACTATGGTCAAGCGTACCCATTTTCGGGAACGCATTTTCGTTCCCATGTTTGGGAACGATAAACCCAAATATGGGAACGCCATGTAGGCATTATTTAAAACAAGAAAAAGAACCGTTAAATGACGTCCAAAAAATATAAAACGATCGTGAACCGCCTGATATTTGTCTCAGTATTGTTGGGAAAGAGTTTGATATTGTAAGGCCCATCGTAGTTTCAAATCCTTCCCCTATTTCTAAAGCAGTCCATCATCCGGGCCGCGAGCCCAAATTTGGGAACGCTCTCGTACACTGGCGCTGCAAGCGTTCCTTATTATGGGAACGGCGTACCCAAAATTGGGAACGATTTCACCGACGCCTTTCAGAGGCTATTTTCATTAACAAGCATCACGTCCAACGCCACAAATTATTGTTAACGCAACAATCATCAGATGACCTTTCCGGCAAGACCGTCGCATGTTTCGCCGGGTCTTCTGCGCTCTTATTCCCGTCGATCCCGCAGGGGGCACGCCCCCCTCTGCAGGATTACGTAATTCACAACGCTCGGCGATGCTCAACAAGGTCTTCCATACCTATATCCACCGTCCGCGCCGAGGGTGGAGACATGTCAAGCACCTGTCTGTTTATCACCGATAGTTGACGAGCACATGGAAGTATCCAAAAATGGGAACGCTGAATCTGTTACACCCTCAAAACACCTAGTCCCAATGAAATTCTAGTTTTTTCCTTTCTTAATGAGTGTAAGTGGCAAAAGGCCTGGTAGGATGGGCACGAGGAATGATCGAAATCAGCATAAAAATTATAAATAAGCCACACAGAGCGACCTATATAAGAGAAATTCCCCCAAAACGATCATGCTTAGAAACACGGAAGCCAAAAACCACGCTCATGACGCTCCTTATAAAACAACGCTAAACAGCTAGCATCCAAATAAAATATGTCTTTCCGGGCTGATAAAATACAGCTGAATAATTTTAAACCACTGAAACTGAGTTTACAACAGTAGTTCGGTAAAATCACTGACGTTCCACGCGGTCGTGCGCCCCGACACCAAAATTCAACAATATTACCTCGGGACTATCCGCTGTTCGCTTGCATATGTCAGTATCTGGTGTCGCTAGTATGAAACTTCATAACCAGGCGAAAATTATTATACATGACCTCAAAATGTAAAAAACGCTTCATTTTCCTTTAAATTGCATGTTAAATGTAGTATAAGCCATGTTTTCACCATTCCGTCATTTCAAAAAATCATTAAAAATATCATTCGACGGTCAATTTCCTTGTTCCACGGTCAGATTAAAGGGACCCTCCCACCTTAACATTAGTTTTGAGTTGAGATAGCCAAGTTTGCGGCCAGGCTCAGAAACCACCATTTATCCTGGTCGCAACCCCCGCAGCTTTATGGTGTTCAAGAAATTTCTTCCCTTTACTTGCAGGGTGGGACCAGCTTGGTCCCTATCTCTTAACCATTATGGGAATCTGATGACGTCATCAGGCTTTCGAACGTCCGTTAAATGTTTGACTAAAACGTTTTGTAGCACGCGGTGGTATATGCTGCTTTGCGCGCAACAAATGCCGCACTTTCAAATAAAGTCGCTAGGAACAGCGGAGATCCCAAAAAGTAAACAAAAGTAAAAGTCTAATATCTTGAAAACCGGTGAATATTTTTCGATGAAATTTGGTAGATATTCGTTTTTGCTCTTTCTGAACCGAGCGACATCACTTTCATGCCAATTCATTAACTTTTTTGAAGGTGGGAGGGTCCCTTTAAAGATAATTTTATAGAGACTTAGTAGATACTTAAATTAGCGTGCACTTTTTTGAGACGTGATGCACTAATGAGTTTTAGTGGGCGAACGGCCGAAAAATTACCTTCCGTTCTCATAAATGGGAACGCCCGTTCCCATGTTTGGGAACTCCGTTCCCAAAAATGGGAACGTTCCTATATTTGGGTACTCATGACCATAGTTCCACCTACTGAAATATACTCACTTCATTTCAAGAAATCCCGATACCGCCGTCTTTATTCACCGCAAAAGATAATAGTATGGTCTCGAATCTTGCGCAGTCGGCGTCAACAGCGGCAGAAAAAGCTCCCACGATCCAACTTTTCCGCCACTAAATTAAAAGCGTAAAGTAAGCGATGAAAAGATAAACATGCCGAAAGACGTTGTCGGCGGCTGGGCCGTTTCGGCGTCTACAGATTCTGCTCCTACCATTGCCTCTGTAGTTAATTCTGTCAGTAAGCGCTTATTTTCGGCGGACAAAAGTGCAGTGGACGGCGACCTCGGAAATTTCTGAGTATGAGCGGCCGGCCGGCCGGCCGGCCGTGGTCACGCTTTTGCGAGGCTTATATCTCAGCAACCACTTGACCGATTTACACGCGGTAATTTTTGTAGGGTAGCTTCATTCCTTCTACCCAGGGTTGTATACCAATCAAGTCGATTGAATTGATTGATTTGATTCAACGCGTATTTTGAGTTGATTGGATTGAGTCGATTGACTTTTCGAGATGACTGGTTGACTGACTCGTTTGACTTAAGCGACTGGTTGACTGATTTGATTCCCGAAAATTAGAGTGACTCGTATGATTGAGTCGATTGAATGGAAAGTTCAAATAAGTTTTAGTTGACGAAAAATAATGACACCAATTGATGACATCAAAGATCACAAAACTACACTGAAAACTGCTTGTCATCACAACTGCAATATGGGGTAGATGGCCAAATAAAGAACAGGGCCTAAACATGAACAGCCAACTTTGACTTTCAGCTGCAATAACTGCTCCAATCCTGGTAATAGAACCTGGCGATGCACCTACCTACCTTTCTGCACTCAGCAGGAAACGTTTTTTTTTTTTTAAATCCAGATGATAAAGTGCAAGGCCCTATATACTAATAAAGTGTGATTAATTATTAATTCACATCTCCACATCTCCTCAGAAACAACCCACTGAACTCTATAAATATCTGAAACCCCTACAAAAATAACTGAAACAATAGCGCCGTTTTCGTCTCGCTAAATTTGCTGCATTGTTTAATTTGCAGCAGAACGTTTGTTGATCCTTTTCTCCTGAGAGCCTAAGCATAACATATTTAATATATTTCATTTTCCTTAAAATATTTTACCGTATATTATAAAGTGGTTTTATTTCAAATGAAATAATAATTAAAACGAAATTGGTGTTGTACAACCGATTAATTTTATGATAATCTACCATACTTCATGATTATCAATGACGTCATCTTATCAAAAAATCAAAGACGTAGAATAAGCATTTATAAAAGCTTAGCATACTTGTTGGCAAAACCTTTTCTTTGTTTTTTCGCAGTCGCACCGTGCCGTTTTCGCGTTTGGTTCCAGAGTCCCTGTCCTCTCCATTTCCTTTTAAATATATTTTTAATCCTCATCCCTATCCCCCAGTCCAAACAGTTTCAAATTGTATTGCAATAAAATGTTTTGAATTCTTCACATATAACCTATCTACCTTCGTTGGTACTGTTGGTAGCTAGTGACACGGACGACGGTGAAAACAGGGCGCCTGGGGCGATTTGATCAAGGTTCGTGAAATTTACACGTGACGTTTGGCATATAGAAGGCCCTTGGAGCGGGAGCAGTTCCAAATGTCACGTGACTAATATGCCCTCCGGCGCCCTGTTTTCACCGGCGTCCATAAAATATTTTGAATTCTTCACATAGGTACCTAACATTGACATGCCACGTCCAGAGTCGTGAACCGCTAAATACCTACTTCAAATCTCTTCCTTCCCAATCTGACAACATCCCACGTCTCAAATGCACATGTGTGGAAAGATTTTTCAGGCTGCCCGTCAGTCTCTGTCTAATCGAAACCGTCACATGCAGGTAAGATATTTATTTCTATTTCCCTATGGTAAATATGTTATGTTATTGATGCACATTATCGTAGACATGGTGTAGGGTAAATGGCCAAATCACGAACACTGCCAAAATCCGAGCAGCCAACTTTCAACTGCAATATCTGATATTTAGTGTACCTAAATGGACGAATCAGTAGGTACCTAAATGGCCAAATGCAGCGAGTTGAGGGGGGAAGAGGGGTGCGGATAGGTACCTGCCTAGCATAATTGAATTCATTTAAATCAAAATGTATTTTCAGTGGGTAGGTACCTAGTCAACAGTAACACACACTTACAAAGGTGGTGAGTTGGGTTAAGGGGCGAGTCAACTACTGGGTTATTTTGCACCCATTAAATGAAACTTCTGCTCCAATTCTACCCATTGAACCTCAATATCATGATCCACCTGTCCATTACTAGGTATCCTTCCTTATTGCATAGAATCTTTGAATGGCATGGCAATTTATATTTTTAAATGACAATATTTTTATTTTTCTTCTGTAGGTAGGTAGGTAGGTACACCAGACTGCTATGGACACTTTTCCAAGTTGGTGGGGCAAAAAAACCTAATGTATGTCTTGGTTTGAGTCGTTTGATTGAGTTGATTGATTCCTTTCATTGTCGCGTTTGAGTCGATTGAATCAATTCCCGAAAACTGCTCTGACTTGATTGATTTGATTGGTTTCCCAAATTTGTCGTGATTGAATTGATTGCTATTGATTGAGTCGTTATACGACCCTGCTTCTACCAAGTATTGGACTATTCCTGATGCATGTGGGTGACCCCTTATGCACGTGCCACGTGCAAAACGAAGAGGTGTCCGTTTTGTAATTGTTGCAATATCTCGGTAACTACTTGGCCGATTGCGCTGAAAGTTGGCATGTAGGTAGGCACCCACTAGGCACTACATATCCATGTGCCAGAGTTGGGGTGCTGCTGCGCGTGCGCACGTGCAGGGGTCGTTTCCAGATCTCGAGAACGGCTCGACCGATTGCGCTCAAATTTGGTACACAGTTAGGGACCGGTTAGTAGGGTGCCGTGCACAAGTCAGTTGGGACCCATTTTGCACGTGCGCACGTGCAGGGTGCCGCTTCCAGATCTCGAGAACGGCTGGGCCGATTGTGCCCAAATTTGGCACGTCGCTAGAGACCGGTTAGTAGGGTGCCGTGCACAAGTTAGTTGGAGGTACCCCCTCGCAATTTCGCACGTGCAAGGCCCACCCTCTCGCTCGCTCCGTTAGTCGCCCCAAAAGGCGTTATACTGGTGTAGATTAACGGAAATTTCTGAGTATGAGCGGCCGGCCGGCCGGCCGGCCGGCCGGCCGTGGTCACGCTTTTGCGAGGCTTATATCTCAGCAACCACTTGACCGATTTACATGCGGTAATTTTTGTAGGGTAGCTCCATTCCTTCTACCAAGTATTGCACTATTCCCGATGCATGTGGGTGACCCCTTATGCACGTGCCACGTGCAAAACGAAGAGGTGTCACTTTTGTAATTGTTGCAATATCTCGGTAACTACTGGGCCGATTGCGCTGAGAGTTGGCATGTAGGTAGGCACCCACTAGGCAATGCATATCCATGTGCCAGAGTTGGGGTGCTGCTGCACGTGCGCACGTGCAGGGGTCGTTTCCAGATCTCGAGAACGGCTGGACCGATTGCGCTCAAATTTGGTACACGGTTACGGATCAGTTAGTAGGGTGCCGTGCACAAGTCAGTTGGGACCCATTTTGCACGTGCGCACGTGCAGGGTGCCGCTTCCAGATCTCGAGAACGGCTGGGCCGATTGTGCTCAAATTTGGCACATCGCTAGAGACCGGTTAGTAAGGTGCCGTGCACAAGTTAGTTGGAGGTACCCCCTCGCAATTTGGCACGTGCAAGGCCCACCCTCTCGCTCGCTCCGTTAGTCGCCACAAAAGGCGTTATACTGGTTTTTTACTCATCAGATAGTGGTAAGAATGAGCATCTCCTGAGCGAGCTGGCGATATTCTGATCAATGAGTAGGTATGACATGAGAAAGGTCTCTGCTCATTGGGCCTCTCGTCTTTTTACGAGTAAAGAACGCGACGAGCCATGTGCACTGAAAATTTGGGTTACTTGGAGCAGATTCTGAGAAGCGAGTCACATTTCGCTACCGTTGATAAAAGCTGGGTGTTTCACTTCCATCTAAAATTAGAGGAACAATGGAGTTAATGAAAGCACGTCGCTAATCGTAGGTATCTGAAAAAAATATGTCCCAGTCATAACGAGGGAGGTGGTGTTCGGTGACTGGATGAATAAACGAGATGTTTTGCAAGGTCACTTCCTTTCAAAAGGTCTTATTATCATTGGGCGTTACTATGATGACCCACTGAGGCACCTTTGTCAGAATATGAGGAAGATCTGGACGGTAAAGCTGGCAAAACTGGTCATGTTTCACCAGGACAATGCTTCAGCCCCCATGTTTCATTGGTTGCAATGTCAAAAATCCATTGCTGAGCCTTCCGGTTTATCCCAAATAGAATCTTTTGTCCACCATTGGCATTCTTCGGCGTCCATTTCTTTCTAACCTGAAGAAGAAACTGACTGTGTGCCGCTTCGTAAAAATAGCAACCTCATTGACACCGTGAACTGTGAACACTGTGAACCCAAAATAACATTATTCAAGGCGCCTAAAAAATATAAGTAAAAGTGCTAGGGCTTCAAAATTTGGTATACATTCATAGAAATTGTATGAAAACATTTGGCCAACTTTCATTAATATGCTTCACCTGTAACTGTGTTGGGCTCAAAACTTTTCATCCACCCCTCGTAGCGTGTCGTCTTTTTATCACGATATTGGAGAAGGGAACCAGTCGCACATGCATGTCCGACATTGTGGGAAGTTTTCGGTATACACAGCAGTGGTCACTAGCGCTCGGTAAAGTCAGCCAAACTACACGCCGCCGGCGGTGCTGAGCTGTCATTTTTCAGTGTGTCAGGGCGGCGACAATAAACTGGGCGGCTGCGGCAGCGGCGGCATTGTGACATTCAGTCACCGGCGGGGCGCTGCATGCGCCCTGGACTCTGACGGATCTGTCTGCCTCTCTGCCGACAGTTTCATATACTCTGCTTGTCTTCTGCTGGGTCAGGCATGCACTCAGCAGCCGGTTCGCGCTGGCGCACTACGGCCCTATAAACATTTTTTTTTTTTTAATAGGGCCTTTCTGCGCCAACGCATGACATTTTTCACATTTTTTATAGTGTCACTTGATTTGAAGTGTCACTAGGTGATTTCGGTTCGCGCTGAGCCACTATATAGCCGATTGGTGTACGATACCGCCTAGTGTCACTAATTTAACCCGCGAGTTGTTGG